GAAAAAAAAAAAAAAAAAAAAAAAAAAACGCAGAATAGCATATCAAGAAACAGCTTCGACTAAACTTGTTGGCTTCCAATCCTTGCTCAATGAGTTACAATATTTCAGAAAAAAATTGAAATTCAACCTTGCTGATTGTTTTTTTCACTTGAGATGATCATACCAGGGAGTGCAAAATCTGAGTACAAGTAATGAGCAGTTTCAGATTCTCCATGCTTAATATAAACTTTATTCTCTTCAAAATTTTGAAGGAACTGGTAGAATGGGAATTCAAAAGCAAGGTAAAAGGTAAAATGCATGCCTGTGGTCATGATTCACATGTTGCTATGCTATTAGGAGCAGCAAGGTTGCTACAGAGTAAGAGACAGAAACTTAAGGTAAAAATTTTCGGACTTATCCTGTTTTTTTTTTTCTTTTAACCAGGGAGGGAACTGACCAGGATTGTTTGTATATGATGTTGTTTGAAGGGAACCGTGAAGCTAGTTTTCCAGCCAGGAGAAGAGTGTAATGGAGCTTATCAGATGCTACAAGAAGATGCCCTTGATAACATAGATGGAATCTTTGCATTGCACGTCTTGCCTTCCTTACCAACTGGTGTCATAGCCTCCAGGCCGGGTCCAGTATGTGCTGGAGCAGGACATTTTTCAGCCTTAATCCGAGGAAAGGGTGGACATGCAGCAGCCCCACATAAGACGAAGGACCCAGTTTTGGCAACAGCCTTCATAATTCAGGCTCTTCAACAGATCGTATCTCGTGAGACAGATCCTCTTGAGGCTGGGGTAAGTTTTACTCCCTCTAAATCAAGTCCCTAATTTTATCAATTTGTTAAGACCACAAGAATGAGATAACTTTTCAACAAGATTCAATACTTCAGTCCAAACAACAACTCAAAATTGTTCGAGGGCTCCCCCTCCAACAGACTCTTAAAGACTCTTAAAGGTTAGGTTACTACCTGCCTGCTTCTACGGAAGAGGTTGATTTTGTACCGACTTGAGGTCATATAGATCGGAACCCGGAGCGATAAGAATGAAAGGCCTACCCATTGCTACACCTACTGGCGCTTCAAAAGACTTAGATTCTATGCTACTGAAAGCCTTTTTTTAGGTAGGGGGGTGTAAGTCCCGAAAGCCTTTGGTACTTCGGTAGGCATATCTCAATATATCATTTTTAAAAAAACAAAAGGTTTAGAACCCTTCCCCTATTTCTGCATTTCATTCTCTGTTCGGCCCACCTCAAACAAAATGAGAAAAAAAGAAGAGAGAGACCTATTGATTCGAAGTCACTATGAAAGGGTCAGTCAATAGCATAACTTTTTCTTTCCCCGGTCTCCATTTGAAGGGAAAAGGCCTTCTCATTCCTAATCCGGTGGGGGGCCGTTCACTCATTAAACTGAAGGAAACTTGAAAATAGATCATAGTTAACTAATAATCAGCAATGTAGGTGGTAACGGTTGCATTTGTTGACGGAGGGCAAGCAGAAAATGTAGTTCCTGAAACCGTGAAAGTTGGAGGAACTTTTAGGAGCTTGTCCCCTGAGGGTCTCTCTTACCTCAAGGAAAGGATCAGAGAGGTATGGCCTGTTTTTCAATTAATCAACTTAACAAATTCCCATATTTTTTAAGTTGGACAAATCTTAATTTCTACTCAACAGGTCATCAACAAACAAGCAATAGTGCACCATTGTTATGCTTCAGTGGAGTTTATGGAGGATACACCAGTAATGGTTAACAATAAAGCATTATTTGAACATGCAAATAGAGTAGGAAATAGCTTACTTGGAGAATCCAATGTGCAACTCCTTCCATGGACCATGGGAGCTGAAGACTTCGGTTTCTTCTCACAGAGGATTGCAGCTACCATATATGGGATTGGGATAAGGAATGAGACTCTGGGATCAAGCCGGCCGTTGCACTCACCGCACTTTGTCCTTGATGAGGAGGCCCTTCCCATAGGAGCAGCTCTTCATGCTGCTGTGGCCATGTCTTACTTGGAACACAATTCAGTTTTCAGTGATTAATTTCAATTTCAATTCTGTAACCAAAACAGTATTTGAGAAATAAAACATGGCAAAGTGAGGATGCACATATTTCCCAAATTAATACCAGCATCGTAATGATATTGTTAGTCTAAATGAATCAAGATGTTAACCCGCTGGTGTAGTAAAATTGCAGACAGTGTATACACACTAAACCAAACTGCGACGGGGTATTTTTCAGAGCCCTCTTTCATTCATCCGGTTCCGCACAACAGACACATCCAGCCACCTTTCTGCTGCAGTATAGATATTGGATAATAGAACATAATTGTCTGCATTTTGAGGCTCGAGCTCAATAAGTTGATAAGCTACCACCTCTGAATCAGAATATAATTTACAGGCCGCAAGCAGTGTGTCACAATCGCCCTTTAACAAGCATGACCGTGAAACAGTGCACTCCATGCACCAACATGAGATTGAACAAGCACGGATTTTACGAGCTCGTAAGCTGCTCATAGTCTCCCAGATCGACTAAGAAGATCAACAATAATGCATAGTGATTACGCGTCATGATTTCAAAGAAATGTCAACCTCCATCCACAAGTCCAGCACGGCTACAAGCTGCTAAGATGACTGTTAAGGCTACTACATCGGGAGTTAGATCTTCATCTAACATCCTCTCGAAGAGTGACACAACCTGAGCTCCACGCCCATGGACTGACAACCCTTACATTACAGAACAACAGGGAATTAGATCTCTTTTAGGCATTTCTTCAAACAGATACATGGCTCGCTTCATGTTTCCACACTTGGCATTCATATCTTTAAGAGCTGCCCTAACATGAGCTCCAC